AAAAAAAAAAAAAAAAAAAAATATTTTTCGTAACTCTGACGAAAAAATTTTTAAAATAACAGGAAAACAAAGCCCATTCGGGGATACTTTTGATGGTCATTGTAAAACGACATTGTGGTCAACGTTTCGAAAACTTAAAAAAATATAGTCAATCCTCCGGATGTTCGGATATACCACAGCATTTTATGGAAACGAAGAGATGAAACTGTTGCTTTTCAACATTCAAAAAAAGTAAGATAAAACAAAAAAAAAAAACTGAGGTGGATTTTTTTCATTTTCTTTCCAGTCTTTGAAGACAAAAAATTTATTAATTTTCAAATCTTGTAAAATAGCAGCATTTGTTGCCATCGACAATATTTTCTAAAGCGGCTTGCATAAGTATACTACTTAAGTTTGATTCCATTTTCAAATGTTATTTAAGGAAAAAATATTGGTCTGATGATTGCAGTCCACAGGTTCCTTTTTTAGCACCTTTCAGTTACAAAGGATACTAGTCAGTCAAACGATTTTACGAGTCTCTAATGACATTAACTGACAAACAAAACAGTTCTTCTCCGATCAATTGAGGCAACAAAAAATGCAATGCGTTCAAAAGAAAAAAAAAGACGCTAAACCTTCAAAAAGCTTGAATTTTTTAAAAAAAACATTCAAAAAACACTACCTATTCATGGAGATCTAAATATATAGATGTATCTATAACGTCTATTCAGAATAAATGTAAATCATTCAATGTACAACTCTAATTTTTACAAACAATCAACTGTCCATCTCGATCCCCCGTAATCGGCACTTTTTCATTTGGTATTACCCAACAATACACTATCACAAAATACATAGTCACGTTTAATATTTCTTAATAAAAATCTAGTTTTATCTATTCAACTGTGCAGCAGTTGACGGTTAACGTTTGCTAATATCTATACATTTTCAAAACGACCGTCGACCGTCCTTACAGAATCAATACGGCGTTAACACACAGTATAATTTGAGTTTAAAAACAACAAATAGAGAAACGTAAAGTGAAGTGACACATAGAAATAAACAGATACGACGACAAACGCACAGGCATATGAGCAAACCTGATTGAAAAGCACCACTCCTTACTCACTGAAGCCACAACGCGTTGAGCTGATAATGTCAACATTGTTCCTACGACGTCATAGACCCGCTTGATTACCGGCAGCACTAATCAACATCAGTTTACTCTACCCCAACAATACATTATCTTTCTTTAAAACCTTTATTTATGGCAAAGATATGCTTTACATCTGTGCATTTCATCATTATGCTCCTGAATTAATAAAAAAAAAAAGAGACGCTACGATGAGAGCATTAAACTTTGGCAAAACGTGGAGGAAAGAGCACGGTAATAAAAGAAGATACTGAACGATGGCTAAGTTATACAGAAGACAGTTAAATGGTGACAGTTTTTAAGTAGTGATTTCACGTTAAGTGTTCCAAATGCATAAGAATTTAAAGCAACTAAATAACTTATTTTTTTTGTTGCAAACTTTCTTCTTAAAGCTATTAGAATAATTCTATCTTTTGAAGCTTTTAAAATATTCAAAAATTACCTTAAACCTAGATGAAATAATGGCACTATTGCAGCATTTATTATTTTGAAAATACATACAAAAAAAAAAAAATAAATAAAAATGAGGTGAAGTAAAAGAACAAAACAGTACAGAAATTTCTTATTTCCGGTCTAAAAATTAGTTCTTAATTTAATAGCACTGAAGGTATACATCAATACACATAAATATGTCATTTTTATTGCAAAAATATATGCATTATACACTTTGCAGCGGAATTTACCACTAAAATAAACCATTTAAACACCACATTACAGCAATTTTTTTTTTT